TGATCCTGGCAAGATTAAATCCTTTGCTTCCATCCCATCTCTTTAAGGATTGAGCATGGGTGTAACATTTGGCTAGTTCCACAATTATCGAAGTCATCAGGCCGTAGGTGCCACTGGGTCCTAAACTTCTTAGTCCAACCGCTTCCTTGGCTGAAAGGTCGGCAATGCGATTACCTTTACTTCTGTCGTGCCCTTTAATCCACCTCAGGATAATGTTATTATCTACCGAGGCTTTGGCTAAATCTTGGTGGCACTCTAGTACTAGCTCTGAGGTATTACGTTGTCTGTTCAAGGCTAATAGGGATTGTCTGCTGTCAGTTCAGATTATGTTTTTGCCAGAAATTCATTTTCTGGTTATTTCATTTGTGAAGATTGAGATACCAGCCAGTTCTGTTTGGACCACGCTTGTATATATTTTTTTCCATTCCCCACTTAATTCTTAGGCTTACAGGTCCAGAGGGGTCAGAACAGTAATTAATTCCATTGCCGCGGTTGGAAAGCAATATGTGATGTAATCAGGAAGCTACGTTGTTAGCACAAAAAACATTTTTTTCTATGTTAGTCTACGAACTTTCCAACTGTTATAATTTCCATAGTTATATTGATATTCTATTGTTCCAGGACTTTCACACAACTATAAAAAATCTGACCAACCATGCTGATACGGCTCCACCAAAAGTCACTGCTGCGCTCCTTCAAAACCCTAAAGCACCACCCCAAATGGAACTACTCCACCAAAGTAGAATACAAGCCGATTAGGAGCGTCCTGGTGGCGAACAGAGGAGAAATAGCCGTCAGAGTTTTTCGAGCGTGCAACGAACTGGGAATAAAATCTGTAGCGATCTACTCCAAAGAAGACAGAGCCCACATTCACAGGCTGAAGGCCGACGAAAGTTACTTGGTAGGAGAGGGACTGCCCCCTGTACAGGCATACCTCAACATACCCGAGATAATTAGGATTTGTAAAGATAATGGTATAGATGCCGTGCATCCTGGATATGGGTTCCTGTCCGAGAGGTCAGATTTTGCTCAAGCAGTTATCGATGAAGGAATCAGATTCATCGGGCCTTCGCCAAAGGTGGTGTACCAGATGGGAGACAAAGTTGCGGCGAGAGAGGCTGCTATTGCTGCCGGTGAGTACGATTCCGATGATTTTTACCTTGTTATAAGACATTCAAGATGATTCTCCTTTTGAATATATCATGTTTAAGTGATTTGTAGGATAGAATCAGGTACACTGTATCGAACGAATACAGTGTACCCGAGATCAACAAGACCATGAAACTGAAGAGTTCCACGGTTCAAAACGGGGAGCAGACTCAGATGGTTGCACGTGGGTATCTAACATATATCCCTAGAGTCACAGACAGAAATGGAAAACTTTTGGAGAAACACAACATAAGAACGGTTTTAAAACTCAACAAGAAGATACAACAAGGTCTTAGGTCGGCTGAAGACAAAAGAGACCCACTATTAACAGCAAGGGTAGTTCGCATACCGTATACTTGTGGGGAAGGTATACATAGGAACCACCAAAACATCCATGGGAACAAAGCTGAAGGAGCAAGAAAGGAACTGCAGGCTAGGCCAAACGGACAAGTCGGCTGTGGCGAAACACCACAGTATTCTGTTTGAAAACACGGGGCTCATTGCTCCCCAACCAGGGATACCACACCCAATTGGTACGGGAGGCAATAGAGATCCACAAACACACGGATAATTTCAACAGAAAAGAAGAAGCTTTGAACCTCAACTGAATATCTAAGAAGTTCGAGAAAGGCAAACAACATGACGGCAGGTAGAAAAGGGTCGACGAATGTTATTGACAATTCGCCTAATCTAGGTACCTACAGGTATTAGCACACCAAACTAACTGGGTCAACATAAACACGCTTTACTCGTTTACCTAATCCAGGTAAAAATTTTACCTGGATTAGGCACACCATTGCTTTAAGGATTTTCCTTTAGAGCTTGTGTTTTGTTAAAAAAAACACTACCTGAGTCAATATAATTACGCTTTACGCAGCTGTAACATCCAGTCATTGGAGATAAACTCAGGATGTTTAAACCTCTGAAGAAGCCAGTTACTCGCGCGAGCGAAACATTAGGAAGAAATTCCAAAAAGCGACAGCTTTCACCAGAAAAAACGACACTGAAAAATCCAGTTTTAGAAGAATCAAAAATGGTGTACCATAGTATAGGTTTAGGTTAGATTCAACGTAAGTAGGTTCATTCGATAATCCAGTAGAACCCTCAAAGGCCAATTCTGGTAAATTCTGCCATAGACCAACCAATCTTGATAGATTTTGTTAGCAAGTAGTTTGATAAGTCTTTCCATTGATGACAGCTTTTTGCCCTCAGCGTATTAGCAGAACACTCAGTTTATGGATCGATTATTTTTTGCAGGAGTACCTATAGTTCCTGGAACCGATGGACCTATCACAACTAAAGAGGAAGCAAAGGAGTTTTGCGTGAAACATGGCCTGCCGGTTATATTCAAAGCCGCGTACGGTGGTGGAGGGAGGGGAATGAGGGTCGTTAGAAATATGAACGAGGTCGAAGAAAATTTCCAAAGGGCCTCTTCTGAGGCGTTGAGTGCCTTCGGAAATGGGGCGATGTTCATCGAGAAGTTCATCGAGAGACCCCGCCACATTGAGGTTCAGTTATTGGGTAAGTGACTATAATGAGTGTTTTAGAGTGTTTTACAGGAAAATATTTGTGGAAAACAGAAATGATTCTACCGTAGGTTCTCCTTCGATGAGGAGAGAGTTTACATTTGTTTCAAATTTGCTGATATTGCCCAAACTTTTAGTTTTCCCAGTTAGTACGCAGAAAAGCCTTACAATAGGCATGAGAGGGATGTTTTTCGGTTGCCACATAATGAGTGAAATATGTTGCTCTGGTTTCTCAGTACTTGCTTCAGAATTTGCAAAATACGTAATTTTGAATGACTTCACATTCAGAAATTTAGATTTCGACCTGAAATTCACAATGGGAGCCAAAAATAAAAACCAACTCACATTCCAGGACGTTCTTATCACAAAATCCAACAATTTCTTCTCATCCCCTTTTCATAGAAAACCGACACGTACCAACCGCTACCTTAGTGCTAACTCCCATCATTATCCTACTCAGTTGAATTCTATTTTGAATTATTTCACACACTAATCTATAAAACTCGCTGACAGCTACAATAGATCCAAGGTACTGGACGCACTCATATCCGTCCTCCACTAAAACGACTATCCCGACTACCAAAACCAAAGATCCGTTCAACTTCAGCAAACCCATATTCCACATCCCAAGTCGCTGACCACCCTTACATTCATGGAGTTAACGACAAAATAAGCCGAATTCTGAAGAGGCACGACATAATAACAGTATTCACAGCCAATAATAGAATTTTCACTTTTCTACAAACACCTAATGATATTATACCCAATGAGGCACAATGCTAATACGAAATACCATGTTCTATCCGCTCCAGAACTCACATCGGCCATACCAAAAGAATATTCCTAAAAGAGTCTATGAACAATATTCCTCGGAGCGTAGGGCAATACCGGTGTCTCGTCAATACCGTAAGAGTGTCGTAGATGGTAATATAGCACTCTTAGGGCCGCGTTATGTCGATGGATATAGGCCGAGACCTCATATGCTGGACATGCTGATAATAGCAAGTGCATTAGAGTCTCGTGCGCCTCGCGGCAGGCCCTGCACGTTGTGTAAGGAACCTCTATACCCATCACGCGACTGCGGTAGACTAAGGTGTTGAAGACACCATCCTGGCAAGCCATGATGAACCCCTCAGTTTCCGACTTCAGCCCANTCTGCTCATATATCCGTTCGAACACTCGGTCAACTGCGGTGAGTATTCGTGTGTATAAGATGCTTGTGAACAACTTATAACACGAATTCAAGCATGTTATCGGTCTGTAATTCTTAGGAATCGACAAATCTCCGCTTTTGGGGATAAGAACGGATATTATTATTATATATCTGAAAAGGTCGCAGTGAATCAGGCCACGGGCTAGCTCCCCGACAATCTAATCTAACTTAGTTGTTGAGTTGAATCTACTGAATTAGAACTAATAGTATCTGACAAGTTTGTATAATTTAGCATATTTAGTAATGCTGCAGGGTATATCAACAGGATGCTGCAATATTTGCAAGATATCATTCATTAGGAGTATACATGAAATTGGGCCTGTTATACTGCTTTGAGGAACACCATTTTTTTATTTTTACATCAGATTCGACTGTATTTTCATCCAGGATATTTGTTACTCTTTGTTGCCAATTTGTTAGGTATTATGTGAACTAAGTCAATGCAATTCCACAAATTGTATAATGGCTGTCTCGTCTGATTTAGGTACCTTTGATATATCCATGTTAATAATAAACTTACAAACAGGATATTCATTAATCGATCACAAGTTGCCATTTCAAACAATTTTTAAAAGCACAGCATTGCTAAGCGTTCATTATGCTAATCATTATTGTTCTTGTTTATCTGTATTTTGGCAATAATTTTGTTATTCAAAACACATAAATGAAGTGTTGATTTTCTGAATTCGTGACTTAATTCTTGTTGCTTTTGGACTTTGTTTTCGAACAACTTGATAAGATTTATGGCGGAATTTTATGAATCAACTAACATTTTTGCACGTTTTCGTACTTTTCATTCAATGCACAGTCATGGGATTCATGACGCAGAATTTCTTTGCTAGAACTCATATAAATTTGTTAAGGTCATAAAGGGTCACTTATAAAAACATCCGTTTGTTGTTGAAAACAACAGGCTTCGTGAATTTTTGTAGGATTGTTTTTCTTTTTAGTCTTGGAAAGTTTTACCCTATTTATGTTACTGGTTTTTATATTTCGTCTTTCAATATTGAAGTTTGGTTGCCTTGACTTATCAGGATAATTTCTGTACTGGGTTGAAGTTAATCACAATCCAAAAACTAATCATCATCAGGTTGTTTTAAAATTTTGTCCATTTTAATAAGTCTACTTTAAACTGAATAAGTGAATACTTATTCCGTCAGCATAAAAATTGGGTGCTTGGGATTCCAGCACCTCCTTGCATTAGAAACACCACGGATTCCGTGTCGAGACAGTTTGCTCAATAAAATTCCGTGCCTAATGCAATCCAACGCCCTGCTGTGGTCACAATTATTACATCTGAAGATGTTATGGTGAGGTTGTTCGTAATTCGTTTAGTCTGGAAGATTTGGCTCTAGGTGCTAGTTGCTTTTGTCAAGTACATGTTGAAACTTATTCAAAAAATCGATTCATAATTATTTTGCTCAAACTAAAACACGTTTTTGGTGATTGACATGCTTGAAGGCATATGAAAATACGTTTGACCTTCTNTTCAGTGAAGAATCCTGCACTGACACCTGTCGGATATAATCCAACGCCCTTCGTGGTATTAGCCAGGGGAGTAGTTGTTTTCTCATAGGTGTCAGTCCATTAACCTACTGTGTAGGGTGTTGAGGCTGGCCTGAATGAATTGTTCTTTTAGATGATTTGATTTATAGCCAGTCTTCAAGTATGCCCACTGACTATACGTGAAACATACTCTCTGTGTTTAAATATTCAAAGGCATCGGAATCTTATTCACTGGTATCACTTTTCGCATTGTTCACCATCGCTATTGGAATCACTACACAGCAAAAAGTCTGCGTTGTTATCGCACTTGTTATTACTATTAGTTCTTGTCCAAGGACGCCACATTTTAAACAGATAATAAAAATTTTAAGTTATTATAACTGCACCAATATCGAATTTCAACACTCAAATCGCGATCAGTTCCTGAACTGAACACGACGACGATAACCTTCCCCGATTTCTATTCGTGACCTCAACATGACTTCCAAATTTAATTTAAGGACTCTTCAGCCAATCATAAAACTCGGTTAGTAAATATTATCCAATATGAACCGCCAATTCTTCAGTCCACGTGGACTAGTTCGCCTTTGAGATGCCGATAGCTTTAAGTATTCACAATAAAGGTTACTTCGACTATACCATCTGTTTAGGTGACAAGGCTGGAAATGTGGTACATCTTTACGAACGCGACTGCTCCGTGCAAAGGAGACACCAAAAAGTTGTCGAGATAGCACCAGCCCCCCATTTGGACACCAGAATCAGGGATCAAATGACCGATTTGGCGGTGAAGTTGGCGAAGCACGTGGGATATGAAAATGCCGGTACCGTTGAGTTTTTATGCGACGAAAAGGGCAATTTTTACTTTATCGAAGTGAATGCTAGATTGCAGGTGGAACATACAGTTACCGAAGAAATCACAGGCATTGACTTGGTACAGTCGCAGATTAGAATTGCGGAAGGAATGACTCTCCCCGAACTAGGAATTCATCAGGAAACAATCAAGCATGATGTGAGTATTAATAAAATCATAGTATAGTCTATCCATTCCCAATTGGAACGGCAATAAAAATAAGAGTACTACGAGGGGTGTTCATAATCACTGCCCGGCAAATGGAAAATGTATATANAAATACTATAACAGCTAATTTCTCGAACATTTTAAGTTCACGCGAAGAAAATATCTATTGCATACATTTATTTACAGGATGTTTTGAAAGTTTTGTCCGTTTAAATGTCTTTGGTTTTTGTAGATTCATAACTCAATATACTGATTGTTAGAGAATTTGGTACTCTATACATTGATTCTGCTGATGTTTATCCAAATTCAATTTTTCTGCTAGTGGCTGGTGTGACTCACTATAAGTTTCTGCAGCTGGGCCAGACATCATAGCAGAGTCTTATGGTGAAGAAATCGACGAAATATACCGAAAATAGTGTCAGCAACAGTCGGCACTGGTCAACAGAAGAGGTGCGATCTTGCTCCATGACAATGCTCGCACGCTTCATAAATCACCACCCAAAAGTTCTGCCCCAACCACCATAATCCCCAATTGAAAAAGTTTCAGTTGACACGTCAAGAAGAGTACTTTGATCACATCAATGAAGATGACTGCCGCAGTTGCAGTGGAAACGTTTGGAGATTGTAACCAAAGAAGACCAATTTATAATAATAACATGTATGACAATATACAGGGTGGGCCACCGAAAACTTGACATGGAGGTTTTGGGTACCAATCTTGCAAATCCGAATAAACGCTCAGACAGCGGTAAGCCGATTCAGGCTCGCCTCTATAATTTTTGTCTCTCCTGGTGTCAATGTGGAATTTTGGTGGTTCGAATGGTTTCACAATTCGTATTGATTGGATCAAAAACAGGATTGACTTTTTACAAAAGCATACATTATAATTAGTAAAAAATAAAGTTCCAGCGAAAAGTTCATACTGCTGATAACCATATATTTTTGTTTAGGGCTTCGCAATCCAATGTCGAGTGACCACGGAAGACCCCGCGAAGAATTTCCAGCCGGACACCGGAAGGATCGAAGTATTCCGTTCTGGAGAAGGTATGGGTATCCGTTTGGACGGCGCTTCTGCTTTCGCGGGCGCCATAATTTCTCCCTACTACGACTCGCTGCTCGTCAAAGTGATCGCCCATTCGAAAGACCTACAGTCATCCTGTGCCAAGATGAACCGAGCCCTCAGAGAGTTCCGAGTGAGAGGGGTCAAAACCAATATTCCGTTTTTGCTAAACGTGCTGGAGAACCAGAAGTTTTTGAACGGTTCCGTAGACACTTACTTCATCGATGAGCATCCGCAGTTGTTCAAATTCGCCCCCACCAGGAATAGGGCTCAGAAACTGTTGAACTACTTGGGGGAAGTGTTGGTCAATGGGGCGCAAACCCCTCTGGCGACGGGGTTGAAGCCTGCCGATATCAAACCACATGTTCCCAGCGTGTCACATGGTGAGTGTGGTGGGGGTGAAGGGGTTATTTATTTTGTGATAACTAATATCTGTTTCGTTTGCAAAATTTGTGATATTGTCTTAGAAGTACATCTTTGACATAGTGTCAGTTCATCATCTACGATTTGGATGGGAAGCAACTCCTTGGCTTAAAAAAATATTTTTTTCAGTGAAACATATTTTGAAAAAAAAAGGTTGAATAAAAGAGCAAGCACAGCTTTATAGCAATTAGAAACTCAATAGAAGAGCAATTTAATTAAAAAATATCATTCACTTTATTTGTATCAGGTTGTTTCAAATGTTTTGTCCGTTTTTATGAGTCTACTTTGAACTGCAATATCTCAGTGAATAATTATTCAGTTCAATCGAAATACTTGTAACCACCATTTGAATAAGTGTACTCTGGCCAACGTAACACAAGTCGATTAATTACATCAGCATAAAAATTGAGTGCTCGGCATTCGATGAAGTCGACGAAGGCCGCTTTTGCCTGGTCCTGATTGGCCAAGGTTCTACCGGTGAAAAAGTGATCGGAAAGATGCTTGGAAAGATGGTAGTCGGTTGGCAAGAGGTCTGTGGAGTATGGTGGATGAGGCAGTCGTTATTTTAATAATTAAATTATGTGTGTCATGTGAAAATGAGACTTTCTGAAGAGGGTAAAGTTTGTTAATATCAGGCTCGAATTTACTCAAAAAACAGCCGTAAGTCACCGAGTTAGTTAGTAACGTTGCCACAGAACTAAATCTATGTTCACACAAATACGATGACAGGAATGCTATCAAAGATCGTTGAACGATGGACCACAATCCAGGTTTCAATTGCGGGATTGGGTTTTGTAGCCAAAATTCTTGGTATCCATTTTTGAATTTTATTTTTATTTCCTCGTTCGTTATGAGTTCTATGAGTTCTTCTTCCAGCTGGGATGATCCTGCTGTGTTGACATTTGAAAACGGATCCAACACCCAATCCGGTATTTTCAATTTTAAAATGTCTCGGAATCGTTCTGCGAAATCAATATGGAGGTTCTCCAAATGTTGTCAGTAAACAAGCAAGTCGTCGTTGTTGAAGGATACTGCTGACAAATTAGGGAAATTGCCAAACTCACGTCTGCCGATATTATTCTTGTATAAGATCAATTTGGCTACAAAAGCAGCAATGACATTTTTGTTTTGATCAAATTCAAGTCGTCATCTTGAAGTTGGAGATTGACATCATTAAATAATTTACAGATCTGTCAAGTACGCATTCTTTGAAGTGATGAGGTTGTCGTGCAATTCTTCGTCTTTGTTTTCCAAGAACTCTATTACGGAGTCAAATAGATTGTAAAATTGAGTCAGACAGATACCTCTTGATAACCAACGCACTTCTATGTGAAATAGCAATCGGTTGAAATCTTCTTCATTAGCAACACAAAGCTGATTGAATAGGCGCTCACTCAAATTTTTCGCAACCAAATGTTGCCTATGAATGACGCAATGTACAGCGAGCACATCCGGAATTATATTTTTTAAGTACGCTATGAAGCCTTTGTGACGTCCTGTCATAGCCAGAGCACCATCCATAGCAGCTGATATAATATTCTTCAGTGGAATTTCTTTCTCATCATAAATTTTTTCCAGTGTATTATATATGTTTTCTCCTTTTGTATCTGTCTCGAAATTTCTGGCAAATAGTAGTCATAATTTTGTCTTAAAAAATGCCGAAGTGAAGAATTGAGTATTAAAAACTTGCTAATGACACCACTCACAGTATTCACAACCGCACGTACAGCACTTTACCCAGCTAGTCGCTAACTAAATTCCCTTGTTTTCGTAATATCGTCGAATGACATTACTGGCTGGATGGCACGCGCGCTTTTATATGAGACAGCGGGCGGGCCTAGTACTTTCGAGAATGGAGACTAGAAACTTCTCTCTTCGCCATCTATTGTACAGTTTGACAACTATCGGACAGGAAATAGTTACTGTCTAGTCCCCTAGATGGCGTTACACGTGGAACCGCGTTGAGCGTAAAGGAGCAGTAAAGTTTATGTTGAAAGCAAAAAAAAACATTTTTAAATTAGCCATCGCCCCCCTAAACCGCTTTCAACGCCCCCCAATCTTCTCTGTGCCCTTTCCTGCCCCCCTGCAGGCCTCCAGCGCCGACAAGGGGGCGTTATCGCTTTGAGAAAGACTATCGTAGAGGATCTACTTTTCAGCCCACGTGACGATCCGATTCAAAACGTATCGTTTTGGTTGCGCAAAAGCAAAAAAGAATAGTTGACCTGTCTGACCATTTTTTCATATTATGTACTGGAAGGGAGATATTGAGGGTGGGAAGTTTTCAAATTGACACACTGTATATCCCTAGAGTCACAGACAGAAATGGAAAACTTTTGGAGAAACACAACAAAAGAACGGTTTTCAAACTCACCAAGAGGATACAACAAAGTTTTAGGTCGGCTGAAGACAAAAGAGACCCACTATTAACAGCAAGGGTATATCGCATACCGTATACTTGTGGGAAGGTATACATAGGAACCACCAAAAGATCCATGGGAACAAAGCTGAAGGAGCAAGAAAGGAACTGCAGGCTAGGCCAAACGGACAAGTCGGCTGTGGCGAAACACCACAGTATTCTGTTTGAAAACACGGGGCTCATTGCTCCCCAACCAGGGATACCACACCCAATTGGTACGGGAGGCAATAGAGATCCACAAACACACGGATAATTTCAACAGAAAAGAAGAAGCTTTGAACCTCAACTGAATATCTAAGAAGTTCGAGAAAGGTAAACAACATGATGGCAGGTAGAAAAGGGTCGACGAATGTTATTGACAATTCGCCTAATCTAGGTACCTACAGGTATTAGCACACCAAACTAACTGGGTCAACATATACACACTTTACTCAGTTTACCTAATCTAGGTAAAAATTTTACCTGGATTAGGCACACCATTGGTGTAAGGATTTTCCTTTAGAGCTTGTGTTTTGTTAAAAAAAACACTACCTGACTCAATATAATTACGCTTTACGCAGCCGTAACATCCAGTCATTGGAGATAAACTCAGGAAGTTTAAACCTCTGAAGAAGCCAGTTACACGACGCGAGCGAAACATTAGGAAGAAATTCCAAAAAGCGACAGCCTTCACCAGAAAAAACGACACTGAAAAATCCAGTTTCAGAAGAATCCAAAATGGTGTACCGTAGTATAGGTTTAGGTTAGATTCAACGTAAGTAGGTTCATTCGACAATCCACTAGAACTCTCAGAGGCTAATTCTGGTAAATTCTGCCATAGATCAACCAATCTTGATAGATTTTGTTAGCAAGTCTAAAACTCTTCTGGCAGTCCAGGTATCCAGTGTTTCGAAATCTAAAGCGATACCAATGATAGGTTCTGGTCCGATGAAACTGCTTGCAGCGTCCTTCCATTCTCACAAAGAAGTCAGCAGCTCGATTACCTTCCATACTAGTGTGGCCAGAAACCTAGACAAGAGACAATTTGATGAGTCATTCTGATTCATTCGACAATATACTAGAACCCCCAAAGGCGAATCCTGGTAACTTCTGCCATAGACCAATCTTGATAGATTTTGTTAACAAGTCTAAAACTCTTCTTGTAGTCTAGGTATTCAGTGTTTCGAAGTCTAAAGCGATACCAATGACAGGTTCTGGTCCGATGAAACCGCTTGCAGCGTCTTTCCATTCTTACAAGGAAGTCAGCAGCTCCATATCAGTGTGGCCAGAAACCTAAACAAAGGACAGTTTGATAAGTCTTTCCATTGATGACAGCTTTTTGCCCTCAGCGTATTAGCAGAACACTCAGTTTATGGATCGATTATTTTTTGCAGGAGTATNGAGAGAATTTCAAGTGAAAAAGTTTGTGTTTCTTGTTTAGTGGTTCTTGACTAAGAATTTATATTGGCCAAATATTACTGAAGTAATATTCATTACTACACCAAAGGTTCCAAACAGTGAATCACAAGTATATTGGCCAAATCGGAAGGATCTTTTCCTAAAGAATGAAAGAACATATATTAGAATAGCTTCTTGCATGTGAAGACCAATCATTTGCAAACCATCGTTTGACAGCGGGGCATGAGTTGAACCAAGTCTATGAAGTAATGAAGAGAACCATTTGAAATTTAATTCAATCTGAAATGCTCAAAAATTCAAATATTCAAGAATTGTCTGAAAATTTAGTGAAAGACCAAATAGAACTGAATTCTTCTTCATTCCTGGATCTGTTTCCTAATGTGGAAATTGGTGGTAAGTTTATTGAATGCCCATTTAATGAGTGAACTCTTCTTTAAGTTGTTTAAATTTTTAATTAGTTTTTAGCTGAAGTAAAATGTTGCATGACTCAAATTGTTATTATATAAAGCATAAATCAGGTAGATGTTAGTCAGTATGAAAACGCCTGAAAAAGCTATTGTATAGCGAAACACACAATGAAGTGTTGCTTGAATAGTTTTCTACATAAAATGTCGTATTGATAACCTGTTTATTTTTTGAACAGACAGTGTAAAGGAATGTTTAAAAAAATCCAGAGTTGACGTACAAAAACCAGGTAGTTTGAAAGGTTCAGGAAAGGAATACAACAGTAGGTTGTATATAAATTCAATCAATTTAGATTAAAAGTCAGTAAATGAGAATTATGATAATATTAAAAGTTGGTCACTTTGTATATAACGATGAGTTTGGAACCTTTGGTGTGAAAGTTGAATAACTTTTTTCGAGATCAATTGCCCTAACACCAAACTGATATTTTTGCACTTGATGCGCGTTTCGCCAACAAAGTTAGCATCCTCAGGAGAAGGAAATTGATACCTAGTCTAGTCTGGTTAGTCCTTATATACTAAAATTTGTTACCTGAGGTTGTATACCTGAAGTCCAATATGGAATTTCTCGGTAATTAACTACCTGCAAGTTCTTAGTAATATTCTCTTCCTAACATAATGTTATTTAATATTTGTTGTTATTGTTACATAATTAGTAATGAAAAATTGTAAAAATAATAATTTCCAAAAGAAACATTTAATTCCCCATATTGTAAGGTCCAGGGATATGCAATTAGGTCGACTTTTTTTCTTAAAAACTAAGCAAGATACGAAAAGATACAAAAAAGTTGTATTTCTAATCGCTAATTTCATAATTTTTTAAACAAAAATATTCGTTCAAATCCCGCTCAAGACGCCACTGGACTTAGTGAATTGAATCACGTTCGGGCTAAATTAGCTCCTTGATGTTATAAATACCATTGCCAAAACACAACAAAATTAGGTAAAGGATATTTAAGATATTTAGGAATAACTTTTTTTCAATTTTTATTTTAACACCCTGTATCTTGAGAACGAAGGATCTGCGGACCCATGTTTATATGAACATTCGTCTTAAAATTACCTAAAGAATCGTCTGTTAAATTTATGGTACATACTTAATTAACACCCTGTATAAAGCATAAATTAGGTAGACGTTAGTCAGTAGGTTGTGTATAAATTCAATCAATTTAGGTTAAAAGTCAGTAAATGAGTAGTATGATAATATTAAAAGTTAGTCACTTTGTATGTGTCAACAGACTGTTTCAAAATGGTGTTTATGTTACCTTGTAACACCCTGTGTGACACCCATTCCCTTTTGAAATAAAATGTACCTAACAAAGCAATGCCGTTACTACTACTCCAACAATTTTGAGGTTATTGTAGTGCTATTAAGCGTTTATGTTTGCATGTGTTGATTTTATAGATAATTAATTGCACGCTTGTGTTTTTTTTTCTTTAACAGAGTACCTAGCGAAGAGCCCCCAGCAAGATTCAAGTTAGTATATTTTTTTATGTTGCTTTTTTCTCGTCGTGCTTCAATTTTCAATGTATATAACAACGTTGATCTGGTGTTTGGTGAATGTTCGTAATTTTCAGAATGCCATTGAAAATTGGAACAGTGCATTGAAAAATGATAGCCCACCAGTTTTCAAAAGTGTTTGATATCACTCTTCATATCATGTATCTGTGAAAAACGGAGTTATAATTGGAAAGGGGTGGGCTATTATCAATTCTTTGTATACTCATTCATATTTTTATATAAGTAGTTTTTCAATACAATTTATTTCATTTTAGTTATCATAGGTAATTGTTACTCTTCTGTTGATAACTCATTTGTCGCATTTAAAATCTGAATACCTTAATATTTTAGCAATTGTTTATAGTAGGTATGTCATAAACGAATAATGAAGAATTTACATATTATTATGTCAAAAAAGTACCTGGAATTGGTCAATAAAACGCAAAATCAACTTCAATACTCGCTGCGAATTCTCTTTTTTTCATCCTCATCTGTCAACTGAAAAAGGGTGTCTCGAGATGGTAGTGTCAGTGTTGAAAAAAGAAAAATCTATCGGAGCCATATCAGGTGAATACGGTGTCTGTTCGAAAGGTTTGTTGAGTTTTTGGCTAGAAATTCGTTCACGATGATATTCTGATGAGATGGTGCAAAATCCGTGAGTTTTCTTTCTACATATCTGGTCTTTTCCGACGAATTTGCTTTCTCAAACGCCGCATAACGCTAAGATGATATTTTTTAGTTGCCGTCTCATCTGGCAAGTATTCCGAATGCATAACATGCGAAAGGCGCTATTCCGAAGCTTGTCGACTGCAGCGGCGGCTCGTCAGAGGAGGCCAGGGAGGCTTAGCCTCCCCATAAAATTTGAGGCTATTCAACGCAATAAATTAAAAGATATTGACAAATAATTATGATTATTTTTTTCTAAAAATGCTTGGGTATCATAACCTAACCATTAATTTTTAATATAAATATATAATATGCCCGAAAAAACACTATCACTCACTACGTAGTACGTAGCACATTGTATCCTGCATCAACAAACCTTAAACGCACCGCCTATGAACGAATAACGAATAAACCATCAACCCGAAATAATAAATGTCATACGTTACAAGGGAGCCAAGCCTCCGACCGTTTTAAAAAACACAAGCTTCGCGAGACCGATCCAACCAGCGACATACGTCCCGATTTATGCAATTCCCGGTACTTTATTGACAGACCCTACAAAAATGAATAAGACCCTGCCTGGTTTCAGTTTTCAAAAGATATTTCGTATCCGTTTTTTTATTGGTTTATTAATTCAGTAGAAGAATTACTTACAACTTCTTCTCGGAACCTTCACATTAAACGCTACAGAGTTTATATAATATCCATCGAAAATGAATATTCATTTGATTAAGAAAAAATACCTACTATTTCTGTCAACCATAGTGAAGTAAATTCTGGAATACATTGTAGATTATGCTGACCTCAGTGAATTGCAAATCTTTTTTTTCAAATTCATCACTGTAGTATCCATCTGTAAATAGTATAAAGATGACAGAAAGCAATGATATTAATAACAATTAATTTTTTCCAAAACAATACAAAACATACAAAAACAAGAATTAAAAAACTGACTCTAACACAACTTAGTACGAAAAGAGCACACAAAAAAATATAAATCAGAACTGAAACTTGAAAAAAATGTAAATATACATACATAAATGATAAATGATAGAGGTCTCAAAACTGAACTTTGGGGTATCTAGTGTGTCACTTTGATAGAGTCGAAAGGAGGTTCCCTTAGTCCATAATAATGCATCTTTCTTGAAAGAGAATATTTTGAAGCCGAAATGACCTGAACAAAACATCAATTAATTTCGGTACGCTTAGATAAGGTAAGATCTTGTTATGAATTTTATAAGTTCGGACTTCCATTGTCTAATATGATATAAATTGATTTGAAATCCCAAAACTGAAACAAAAAAACTGAAATTACAATGAAATGAAATACAAGCAACAACCAAAAAATTAAAAATGTCACTATTAACACGAGATTCCAAACCAAGTTATTACACGACGTTTCGATTGTTAGTATCCACAATCGTCTTCGGGTGAAAACTGGACTTATTCCTCTGAGATCTGACTATTTATAGGCCATTCGAGTGCTTTCACCTATCCCCTCTTTCCTCTCTCCGCTTTATCGGTTTTAGCAGAAGCTGGCCGTTTGGCAGGAATTGGTCGTGTTCCACTTGATTATGCTCACCAGTCTCTTCTGGCTACGAGGGTGCGATCCCACGACTTGCTGAAGATTTCTCCGTTCGTGACCCACAACTTCAGTCAGTTGTACTCTTTGGAAAATTGGGGCGGAGCCACCTTCGACGTGGCGCTCAGGTTCCTGCACGAATGTCCTTGGGAACGGCTGGAGGAAATGAGGAAGTTGATCCCCAATATTCCTTTCCAGATGTTGCTCAGAGGGGCGAACGCAGTTGGTTATACGAATTACCCCGATAACGTTGTCTTCAAGTTTTGCGAGTTGGCGGTAAGATTATTCAATTATCATTGGTTATCCTTGGTTGAATGGAAGAGCTAGTTCTGATTCCGCTACTCAAATGACTAGAACAGAACCTGAATTCTGTCTTTTGGCAAAAATGTAGGAGATATGATTTATACCTTGTACTACATTTTGTCAATTAAATCATTATTATTATTTCTCACCAAGCAATAGCCAAGTTGGTAGGGAACTGCAAAAGATACTCTGCTCAGTAAGAAGGCTTGTTAAATTGTCAACAGACTGGATTCCTGGCCATACTGGCCTGGAAGGTACTCAAGCTGCTGATTCCTTACAATGGAGGACGCAACAACCAAACTCTACCAGAATTGGACCAATCCAAGACGATTATACTTCTTTTGAAATATCACCAAACAACTGTTAGAATACATTAGTGATGACCTTCATTGTCTAACAGGGTTGGAAAGGTAGGCAGATGATGGAACACCCGACCAATGCTGGATATTCCATGGATATCCAGTTCATGTCCCAGTCAGAACAGAATATCTTCGGGCATGAAATTTATGTTCATAAGATATCCTCCAGAAAAGTCGGAATGCGTATCTTTTGTTGCATATCCTAAAAAATCTAGGATATCTTATGGTCGCCTCAGTTGGTGTATTTTGGAGGTCCATAAAATGTCCCGGGATGATTTGGACGTCCATTGGATATCCACTGGATGTCTGTGTGTTGTCTGGGCAGCAAATCTTGCAGTTGTGCCTGCCCTGCCACGAAGTGGATGAGGTTTTCCATTTCTGGCAGTTTCAATCTCACCATCGAACATGGAAGATCATACATCAAATGAAGAAGCTGAACTTATTTATTTAATGAAGTTTGAATTCATTCGCTTCGAAACAAATCTAACCTAACTGTTGGTTCAGTAGGAAAACAGTCAGATCAGCTATTTGCATTTTCAGGTTCAAACCGGAATGGACGTCTTTCGAGTTTTCGATTCTTTAAATTATTTACCAAATCTGATTGTCGGGATGGAAGCCGCAGGGAAAGCTGGTGGAATAGTCGAGGCAGCCATATCTTACTCCGGTGATGTCAGCGATCCAAATAAAAAGAAGTATGATTTGAAATATTACTTGAAAATAGCTGATGAACTGGTTAAGGCTGGAACGCACGTATTGGCTATTAAAGATATGGCAGGATTACTCAAACCAAAGGCTGGCAAGTAAGTAGTAGGTTATTAAAATAAATAGGTGTATTACTAGAAATAATTGAACCTCTGATTTCTGAAGTACAATTGATATACATTATTGTCAAGAAGGATGTACCATGAACATTCAGATTTGTCCAAATATGGATATCCATTTTGTATCCATGTCTACATATTTGTGGACATGAAATAAATATCTATTGGATATCCGAGGTGTTTCCTCGATTCGTTGACTTTTTACTAGATGTGGCAGTTTGGTTTGTAGTTCTCTTCACGAGATATACTTGGGAAAATCATCACTGCCAAAGGAAAATTGATATATACACACAATTCATACATGAGAAAACAAATTCAGTACACTCTTTGGCCACTGTGAATTTAATACTATCGATATTAAATCTTGAAAATTCATAACTCATCTGGAAAATAGATTTACGTATCGAGTGATTAAAGTGGTTAGTATTTACCCTGACCTAAGAATACAAAGCCCATAGAAGCTCAGAACTGGCATTTTTGTGTGCCGTAAAATGTTTAGTACTTGTCCTGACCACCAGAGGGCGATGCTAGTACGATGTCAGTATTTAATGTGATTACCAACTGAACTGGTTAGCAGTCGCTGACATTCCAGTCGGCTTTTTAATTCAATTTAATTTTGGCGTACGTCTCGACTTCGATATGAAAGAGCTCTAAAACAGCGCATTTAAAGGGATTCGTTTCTATTTCACCATTTGGCAACATCGGTCATAGCTAATAAAGGACAATGAATCTGTTACCTGTATGATACAAACAAAGATGACATATTTCAAGGGCGTGCTGTTCTGTTTACTTATGTTCCGAATTCCCAGACATTCTGTGGCATATGACACTTTGTGCAACTAACCTATCTTCCTCTATATAAATAAATAACAAAACAACTGTTGTTTATGTGGCTTGAGGAGGTGGTATTGAACTATAATTTATATTTTGCCTTAATTGTTGATTTATGAAGATAATTTTCCTTTTTAAAGTAGACTTCAAACTTGATATAGGCGCTGTTGCCAATATGTGAATTAGACACAAATCCCTTTAAAAATTAAAACCCAACATTTGAAACATCAATTTGAATACTTTTCTAAGTGAATTTAAAAAACTCATGAATTAAACTCAACTTTATTTTGTTCAAACTTGCATTTGCTGTAACAACCCAAATTGAGGAACATTCCCCATTGTGGAAAGTCGTCTTGATTTTGGTCTGGAGCCTGGATCCCTTCCCTTTTCGGCTGATGTTTGTCAGAGGGACAAATGGGTCATGACTGATGGTGGGATGGCGACATGAATGTCCTCAGACATCAGTGTCGCCCTTCATGGTGTACCCCTACCTGGCTGGGGTGAATGGATGAAAAAATTGTTCATCTGTTAACGGGGGACATTAGGGCCTCATTCGACAGAGTGTCGGGGCCTTCTATATCGGAAGGGGTCGTCTACAGCGTGATCTTTAGCTTCCCTGACTAACGGATTATCGTGAGTTTCTGCGCAATCAAAAACTCGCTGATTCCTCGACTGAATGGACTGCCCAATGGAAGGCAGCTGCAAATCTCTGCGGATGGCTTCATTCCGCACGAATCACGGAGTATTCACAATCACCCGTTTGCAAACCTTGTTTTGCAATCTCTCCAGAATGGAGATATTAGGCGGAGCCGCTTGTCCCCAGACGCCTGAAGCATAAATGATGACAGGCTTGAACCTCGTGCTGTAGATGGTAATTTTATTTTTGAGGCTCATTTTAGATCATCTGTTGATCACAGGGTACAGACTAGCTATTCGGCCCTCAATCCTTGTTTTAACGTATAAAATATGCGGGTTCCAGGTGAGCCTATGGTCTATTAGAAGGCTGAGGTACTTTACCCGCGCTTGCCAGTTGATCTCCCTTCCAGAGACCCTCACTTTCCTAGCTGGAGAAGATATCGTTCTTCCCGTGGTTATGGGCTGAGTTTTTTCTGGGTTCATTCGGATCTTCCATTCGAGGTACAGCTACCCAATTCTGTTGACACTCACATTAAATACTGACATCTGACTGACATCGCCCTCTGGTGGTCAGGGTAAGTACTAAAAATTTCAGGTGACACGAAAATGTAATGTCTGAGCTTCTATGGGCTTTGTATTCTTTGCCCTGACTATACACTTTTCTGTTACTTTGAATCTGGAATGGAAACATATTCATTACAAAGGTGATAATCCTGAATATGCTCTCTAAAGCGTCACAAGTTATATTAATAGACTAAGTTTATTTTCCAAAAGCGGAAAGGTTTCCTTAGTCAGCCATCTGATAATTCGAAATCCAGGTTGAACTGCGTCAGGTGTTTTCGGATATTCGATGTTTCGACTTTGAAGCCATTTTTAAAATGGTATGACTACACTGCGGTCTCAATCTGTCTACTCCTCAGGTAGTGACATGCTTTGAGAGTTTTGTGATTTGTCGCCGGAGTCTCAATTTGCCCACTCTCGTCACTGATCTCCGCAAGGGTCTCAAGCGTCGACTGTGGGTCTTTAGGCTCTGTTGTGATATTTGTGTCCCTGGCCGAGTGAAGGGGCAAACCAGTAGTGGGAGCGAGGATTGAGGAGGTAATGGAAACGGGAGTGTGACTTGCAGAAGCGAGGTGTGCAATGTTGGGAGACGTTGTGACAGTAATAAACCCCATGAATGATGTTATCTTTGTGCAACATCTCGTTTGTTGAAGCCGTTGGGACGATTATCAATTTCAATAGCTTCGCGGGTTATCCTGGCCTGGTGAGTTTTTTCGATGCCAATGGTTTTGGTGTTACAAAGCTTATTGTGCGGTCTGTTTCTTGATGACTTTTGAAGAGAGATGAGGCTGGATCTGATTTACAGACATCAAAAAAATGGTTTCAGAGTCAAAGTCGAACAACTGAAAACATCAGAAGCGATTCATCCCGGACTACAGATTACTGTCCGCGGACACCGTTCCGAATATCATAATTCTAATGTTTTTATCGTAGTTCTCTATTCTGATATATCCAAAAAACTTTATTTCTACAGAATGCTCGTAACCGCTATCCGAGACAAATACCCAGACCTTCCGATCCACATCCACACCCACGATACCAGCGGAGCGGGTGTAGCATCAATGTTGGCATGTGCCGAAGCTGGTGCAGATGTCGTTGACGTCGCCGTGGATTCCATGTCCGGATTGACGAGCCAGCCGAGCATGGGAGCTATAGTTGCCAGTTTAATAGGGACCGATCTCGATACCGGTTTCACATTACCCAAAATTTCTGAGTACTCTGCGTACTGGGAACAAACCAGGACGCTTTATGCCCCCTTCGAGTGTACCACGACAATGAAGAGTGGCAACGCGGACGTGTATGGAAATGAAATACCTGGTGGACAGTATACCAATTTGCAGTTCCAGGCTTATTCTCTAGGTAAGAATTTTATGATAGCTCACTCTTAAGGCGAGTTCATATTAGAACGATTGCGATAATATTTTTGTTCCGCAAATTTGGCCCAATTGTCAAAACACCCTGTTCATGTTGAAGCGGGCAATATCTAGGGATTTTATTGTTGAATTTTAATTTTTTTTACATGAACCTGAAAAATGACATGACCACCGACATGGTTATGTCGAATTACAACTTTTAAGACCAGACCCCATCATATCGGAAAATAGGACTAACAATTTTGTCAAGCTATCTTAACGTTACTGCCATCTTAAGTGTAGGAGCGAGGGGTTCTTTTGCAAAATGAGTTTTAATGAAGGGCCAACTAAATTCAATAATTTATTGAATAATGGGAGAGCCAGCCTGAAATAGTTGAAATATTTCTCTGGATCACTAATTCTCATTTCAGCCACAAGGTTGTGATATTCTCCATATCTTCTTCTGTTTTTGGAAATATTTCTCACGCCTTAACGACGGGGTTTTCTCAATGAAGCTTTATACGGTATATACGGTATATACGGTAAAGTTGATATAATTTGAACAACCTGACACATTCGTCCATTTCGGATTAAATTTCGATGTATGGGCTTAAAAAACGACAGTCAAATAAAATAGCAATATAACCTCATTGTGTGTTGACGTATAAAATTTAGCGGAAATCGCGAAAAAGTTCAATTTTTTCAACTATTTTACGATAAACACGACGCCATTTTGAATCGCAATTTTTATGCGATGTTCGTTTCCACATGAACTAGCCCTTAATCCTACTATCCATCATGGGTCATTGATTTCGGACTTTTTCTACAGCACTAAACTTTTTTTTTCATTTGGATACTAGATCGCAGAAAAAAGATGCATAGAAATCGTGGTGTTTTCACCGACTCGCTTTTGTTTTGTGAAAAACTCGCGACTCGAAAAGTGACATTGACACAATTTTGTGCACACATTATGAAGCAAACGAAATTTATCAATTTACAACATTGATAATTGAAGTGGCAACTTAACATTCTCAATTTGCATCACATTAGTTGTACTCAGTATCTCTGTGAATGACATGCTGAACTTTATTGGATCTCTTTATCATTTCTTCATTAAGATGGACCTAGGTCGAAAGTTTCTGACAAAGTATTTTACATGGGAAAGGGTTCCAAGTGATCACCCCAGAGTGTGGAGGGTAGAGGTTAAGGAGAACCGTCTCTGTATGTGAAAAATTGCCCGTTAAAATGTGCTACATAAGGGTGGCACCACAGTAACAACAGAGTAAATTTACCACAGCAATAATTTTAGGTTATATTGATGAATTTAGTTTCAACTACGCAAAACATGTAAGGTCTTGTATATTCCACTGTCATTAACTACTCTAGTCATTAAATATATTAAATTTCCCTACTCAGCATACTTCAATCAATTAACAACTGCTTGATTCATATAATCCCCTGTGCCTATGCTAGCGCCATTCTGGAGGGTCTTTGAACTGTTATTTACTGCTGAAATTGGACACTTTCAAGATTCCTCCCATATGAGGCGGTTCTCCTTACCTTTACCATCCATAACACAGTGATATTCTTACGCAGAACCTCTGGAAAAAGTGTACAGGAGTTCTTCTTCTTTTTCATTGAATGGCCTTAGTAACTAGGGCTATCCGGCCAGTTGGTAAAGGGGTTGTTTGCTGAACTTGACACTTTGACAGTACCTTCGCTGTGATTCTTCGGTCTTTGTGAAGAAATATTCTAACCTGTTTTCTAGAAACAACAGTCAATGCTTTGATAATATAAATATTTATATCAGGCAGTGTAACGAACCGGCAGTGTAACGAATCTCTAGCCATAACTTTATAGTATTTCCAACACCAATTCGAACAGCACAGAGAAGGAATTCCCGCCTCGACATAGTCGTCGGCATATTATTTTTCATTGTAGTTTTTCAGTTACTTATTCTTACAATCATAGCAATTGATCACCCCATGAAAAAGTTATCTCAACTGAATTTTTCCACCATGGGTAATTATGAAAAACTTCGAAATTCTAGGTAGTTGATTTCCGAGTCGAAAACTCTATTGTCGAACGAGATAGTTTCGTTAACTCGCATATTCTATTCACAATAACATTCTGTGAAGTGTGACAGTTTTCCTTCTTCAAGCATTCATGAATATTTAAAATTATTCGCTGAACTTGAACATGTCCGCTTCTTAATCTATTGTTGACAAATTAATTTGCAGGTAGTGGTTCCACTAGTTAAGTACCGAAAAATCAATTAGGATAATCATCATTTAACAAACAAAGTCCACATCGGACCAAAAAACTTTAGGTATATAAACAGATAACCCTTGTCTTTAGATTCAGTATCAATTTGCTTCTCCTGAAGATGCTAACCTTGTTAGCGAAACGCGCGTCGAGTGCAGAAATATCAGTTTGGTGTTAGGGTAATTGATCTCTAGGAAAAGTTTTCAAAAATCGGTTTGCAAAACCACTTACTACCTCACCTTACCCCACGAATACGCGGCACTGATAAAGAAATATTGTGAAACGGACAAAAAATTAGTATTCAGCCAGTCCAGCTAGCCGAGCATTTATTCCTCAACTACATTTGATAGCACGTTTAGTAACTATCTGGGCGACTAGGGGCCACAGCCAAGAAATGTTTATGACTGTACTCTTATTTTTATTGCCGTTCCAATTGGGAATGGATAGACTATACATATTATAACAACAATAAAAGAATATCTACCGAATGAACTTGAAAATATCACAGCTTTCATGAAGTAAATGAATTCTGTTATTTCTTACTCGATTCATAACTGCCACAAATCGTTTAACTGTGGTTGAGTTGAACTTTCATCACCAAATGTTCTAATATAAGTAGTTCAAATGCTTTTTTATGATGAATATTTTTTAAACTCTTATGGAACTTTTAGTTTTCAACTATAACTGTGTTGATGTAACATTAGCGTATTTTAATATTACAAAATGAAATTTTATTCATCCTTAAAAAATTCAGAACCTACTTTTTCTGGAGGTCAGTGAAAATGGATCCAACATTTATAATATGGTATTTTTGCAAGTAAAATGGTGGTTCGTGGAATTCTTAACTAAATATTTTTCAGAGGCCAAGCTTTATTCCCTATTGATATTAGTAGCAATATATTTTGTAGAATTCTTTCAGAAGATTGCTCATTTCACTACTTTCCCCGCACTTTCAATTAACATTTGATTCCAGGTCTTGGCGACTTCTTTGAAGACGTGAAAAAAGCCTATGCAGAAGCAAACATTCTCCTCGGAGATATCATCAAAGTCACCCCCTCCTCCAAAGTTGTAGGGGATCTCGCCCAATTCATGGTCCAAAACAAACTCACCTCGAAAGATGTGCTTGACAAAGCCGAAGAACTGTCATTCCCCAAGTCAGTGGTGGAATACCTCCAGGGACACATCGGCCAGCCTTACGGAGGCTTCCCCGAACCCCTCCGATCCAAAGTGCTCAGAAACATGCCCCGCATCGAAGGCCGGCCAGGGAAGAGTTTGCCTCCTCTTGATTTTGGCGCGCTGGAGAAGGATCTGAAAGAAACCTTTCCACATGCGTCAGAGAAAGACGTTATGTCTGCAGCTCTCTATCCCCAAGTGACCAACGAGTACTTAACTTTCTCAGAGAAGTACGGACCAGTGGATAAACTTGACACGAGAGTGTTCCTAGTCGGCCCGAAGGTAGGGGAAGAATTCGAGGTGACAATAGAAAAAGGAAAAACGCTGGGGATCAAGACTCTTGCCGTAGCTGAGGACCTCACTGAAAACGGAGAGAGGGAAGTCTTCTTTGAACTGAACGGAACGCTGCGGTCGGTCATGATCAGAGACAAAGATGCCGGAAAAGAAATGCATCTACACCCGAAAGCTGACAAAACTAACAAAAAACAGGTGGGAGCGCCCATGCCAGGAACCATCATCGACATCAGAGTGAAGGTCGGGGAAAAAGTGGAGAAGGGAACTCCCTTGGTCATCCTGTCCGCTATGAAAATGGAGACTGTGGTGCAAAGCCCCGTGGAAGGGGTCATCAAGAGTTTGGATGCCACGATGGGAATGAAGTTGGAAGCCGAAGATTTGATAGCCACCATGGAGTAGCGAGGAACGTAGATTTCCGTCAGACATACATCACTGTTTGGCTGTGCTAGGAGAAGGTTTGCTTCTTTGTTGAATTCCTTAATTGTTAAGTTTACGATTTGTTGAATTTTTATACTTAATTTTTCAATATTTGAAATGATTTATACAATATTATCTTTGATCATGTGAGTAGTAATTTGTTTATTCTATTTTGAAATATATTTTTATACAGTTGCCTTTATCTGTAGTAATAATGGAAATGATCTCGATATGGTCATTTGTGTATCAGGTAAGTATGAGAATCATAACCTAACATTATATATTTCTCCATAGTAGGAATCTGTCAGAAAATAATTCTAAAAATATGAGAATATTTGGATATCCATTTGAAAGAGTTCAAGGGAATATGGTTTTTGAGTTTTGATTGACCCAGTACTAGAAAAAAAGTTATTGGTCAAATTATTATTATTATTCGGAAATAAAGAATAACTATATTTGAAAAATATATTCATGAAACAAACTTTTCAGTTAATAAATCAGTTTTTTGATACACAAAGTTGTCCAAAAATTAAACCATCAAACAATTTTTTTTTTTATAAAAACCTTTGGTAAAAAGAGGAAATTGACTGAATGAGGGTTTCATTTAGTTGAAATCAAAGACATTTTTATACAGCACATAAATCTATTTAGACATAAACATTATTATAGTAAACACACTCAATACATGATTTGACGAATAAGAACAGTGTCGAGTAAAATTATTGTTAAAAGGCACGAGTTGGAAAAATATAGATTATACGAATATGAGTTATTCAATGAACGACGAAAAAAATTTCTACAAAAGCGTTCAACTGCGAGTACATCAGTTCGAATCTTTTGTAGACTAACATTCGTCACAATGGAATGTAACACTGCTTATAAATATTGTTGAGTACATAGAAATTATAATTTTCAACATGTCAGTAGTTATTTAACAATATTCAACAAATAATAACAAAACGTAAATGTATGACTAGAACAAAACCAGAGGTACGTTACTCAAGCACGTTACTCAAGTTCCTTAAAATTCCTTATAGTTTTGTTGAAAAAACTACTGAAAAATTTCAAGTAAAATACTCATTTGGATAATTCATTTATTGATTATGGTATTCTGTAATTTGCTTTCCAACATTTGACGTCTCTCTTCAAATTACATCTTAATGTTTCCATGACCTTGTATAACTTCAGATCAAATATTTTTGTCCCTTTTCACATTGATTTTTATAATTATTTACGATATTGACTATATTGACCACCAAATTTAGTGAATGATCACCAAATTTTGACGGTTTCCATTATTTATATTCCGCCAACAACGGTCGCTTGTTTGAGACCAGGAGTTGTCGTTCGAATGTTCAACAAGCTGCTCAAGTCAGGCAGGAGATTGATTTTGCTGTGAAATCCTTCGGAGTAACAATAATGCCCATCGGGATTTGAAACCGGAAAACCTACTTTTTCAAAACGAGTCGCTGTAATTCTGACAACAAGTACAGTTCGGTTTGCTCTCACTATTTATCACGCAAAAGGACAACATTCAAATCGTATCACAGAAAATACAGACCACTTACATTGATACCCAACATAGTTTTGGTCCTTTGAGCCGGATACTCGTGATTTGAGTTTGAACGATGTTTTCTGCGAATTTTAATAGTATTGTTGCTTTAAAATAACACAAAAAGGTGTTTTTTTCGTAATTTAACTACTAGTTTCGATTCGTATTCATTTATTAGTATTCAATATTTTGTGGATAAGAATAAAAACCATAAACCGGCGTACGATTTCATCTCGATACAGGGGTGTTTATTTCAGTTCATCATTTGCAATTATTCGAGTACAAGTTTGGTTTTATTGTTCATCTAACGATTAAAATACAATATCATTGTTGGTGTTGTTCAAATTAGTTCAACTTAATCTATCATTCAATAGTCAATTCAACATTCCAACAGTTTTTTGTCTCTTTTTTATTTATTTTTTGGTATAGGTTATCGTTGTTTTAAATGGTTTACAAAAATAAAATCAAATTGACTACATACGTTAAAGTTGGGTTATAGACACGTTTTGTCCCTTTTCACATTGATTTTTATAATTATTTACGATATTGACTATATTGACCACCAAATTTAGTGAATGATCACCAAATTTTGACGGTTTCTATTATTTATATTCCGCCAACAACGGTCGCTTGTTTGAGACAAGGAGTTGTCTTTCGAATGTTCGACAAGCTGCTCAAGTCAGGCAGGAGATTGGTTTTGCTGTGAAATCCTTCGGGATTTGAAACCGGAAAACCTACTTTTTCAAAACGAGTCGCTGTAATTCTGACAACAAGCACAGTTCGGTTTGCTCTCACTATTTATCACGCAAAAGGACAACATTCAAATCGTATCGCAGAAAATACAGACCACTTACATTGATACCCAACATAGTTTTGGTCCTTCGAGCCGGATACTCGTGATTTGAGTTTGAACGATGTTTTCTGCGAATTTTAATAGTATTGTTGCTTTCAAATAATACAAAAAGGTGTTTTTTTCGTAATTTAACTACTAGTTTCGATTCGTATTCATTTATTAGTATTCAATATTTTGTGGATAAGAATAAAAACCATAAACCGGCGTACGATTTCATCTCGATACAGGGGTGTTCATTTCAGTTCATCATTTGCAATTATTCGAGTACAAGTTTGGTTTTATTGTTCATCTAACGATTAAAATACAATATCATTGTTGGTGTTGTTCAAATTAGTTCAACTTAATCTATCATTCAATAGTCAATTCAACATTCCAACAGTTTTTTGTCTCTTTTTTATTTATTTTTTGGTATAGGTTATCGTTGTTTTAAATGGTTTACAAAAATAAAATCAAATTGACTACATACGTTAAAGTTGGGTTATAGACACGATGTATTGGCGCATGCCCAAAAAAATTATGGAATAAAATAAAGTAAAAAGTTGGAAATATTTCAGCTCATCGTTTATTCCTTACTTTAGCTTATTCATTTTATAAACTCTTTGCTTTTTTTACTTTTTTCTTATTTAATGTTACTTTATTTATAAACCCGCCTTTAATTTTGGTGATTATTCTCCGATTTTGGTGGTATTTTCCGAAGTTAAACAACTTGATTTGATGTTTACTGGTACTTTAGTCATTTTACTTTTTTTTTCGAGGTACCTGAATTCGCAATACTTAATGCATACCTGTAATTTCCAATTTGGCTGCTTCAGGTGAATATTTTAAATAGATAAAGCTTTGAGAACAGAATACCACAATATAAAACTGAAACTATCCATAAAAATTTGAACATCAACATAAAACAATAAAAATAAAAAAATAAATTCGAATCTTGGTAACTATCTGCATCTATAATCTATGTTAAAACTATTTCTAGTAATCATCATGGTAATTTGATCTCAAGGTAAAAATTGAAAGAACTATATCAATCTTAATTGGGATGTCACTTTTCTCCCAACCAGTTAACGAAAGAAATGCTCATGCTATACCGAAAATCTAAAGTCACAACTTCAATATATTTCATTTCAATTTTAAATTTCACTAAGCAAAAATCAGATTGTTTTTATCGAAAACGATTTTCAAAATCGTGGTACTTCAGACCTATAGAATTGCCAGAAAAAAGTAACATAAGTCGACAGTGAATAGGCAGTACTTTTCTAAGTTTAGTCAATCATGAAAAATATAGCTTAATATAGAGTAGGCCGTCATTTTGAGTTCTCAAAATTTCCTACTGGGGCAATCTACACAAGTCTGCCCATTTAAAAATACTAAGACAGATTATACTACGTTTTCATTACAATAACAAACGACTCTGCAGAATATGATTGAGACTAGCTAATCAATTTTGGCATAAAATTCCAAATTACCTGTTTTTCTACAAGTTATACTGAACTGTAATTGTTTTTCAAAATCTACTGGTTTTGCCTGAATTATTCATTTATCTATAAAGTTTTGACATAAATGCCAATAATTGATTAATTTATAAACTGCATGAATTGATCATTTCTCTAATCAATTTTTGGCATAAAATGCCAAAAAGTAACATTTATAAATTACCTGTTTTTATAAAAGTAATGTATTGTTTTTTTCAAAATATACTGGTTTTACATGAATTAATCATTTATTTGACCAATTTTTACCATAAAATGCCAATAATTAACATATTCATGAATTATCTGTTTTCCTAGAAGTGATATTGGTATTTTTTTCAAAATATATTGGTATTGCATGAATTGAGCATTTATCTAATCAATTTTTGACATAAATTGCCAAAAACTAACATTCAATAAAAGTAATATTGTAACTTTTTTTTCAAAATCTACTGGTTTTGCATGAATTAACCATTTATCTAATAAATTTTTGGCATAAAAAGCCAACAATTAAAATTTAAAAATTAACTGTTTTTATAAAAGTAAGATTATCTTCGACTAATGTAATAACTAATCTCTACTATCATCATTTCTCTAATCAATTTTTGGCATAAAATGCCAAAAAGTAACATTTATAAATTACCTGTTTTTATAAAAAGTAAGATTATATTGTTTTTTTAAAATCGACTGGTTTTGCCTGAATTATTAATTTATCTGATTGAGTTTTGACATGAAATGTCAATAAATGGCATATTTATAAATTACTTCTTTTCCTAAAAGTATTGTGATTTTTTTATGAAGTAATACTTTTTGATTGTCAAAATATATTTAAATTCCGTTCATTTCTACTACTTATCAATATGTCTGTGATTTCTATTTTATATCCCTTCAATTTGCATCTTCCGCGGTATCTATTATGATGAGATGAGCTATTTTCAGATGAAGTAATCAATCTTTACACATCTACAAAGTCCTTTGGTAGAATGATAACAAGAAAAGTGAGTTTGGATGAAGTAAATAAGAATACTGAACTGAGTGTAGAAATAAGTTATACCCGACTATCTAATATTCATCTATATTTCACTAGATAATAACTCCTATGCTACATAATACTCCATTATGTATTGTACAAACATCAGCAAAAAAAATAAATTATTCCTTGAGCTACAGTGGCTCAGAATTACGACGTACTCCCTGTCCAATTTGTGATCAAATAGATTAGTAAAAACAATTTAGAAAAAATAGTCAATATAAAAGGTTTCTCAAATGTGGACCTCGAAGTAAAAAAGAAGCTAAGGGAGTCCATTCCAATTGAAGAGAAATAACATAAATGTTGATATGAATGTTTTGACGGTTGACAAGGTAATGCAAAACATGATTGATGCTGTGTTTAACTGAAAATTGTGAGTAGAAAGTAAACATTATATGATTTACGCAAAAATTTTCGAAAAATATGAATTATACTTAATAATTATTCATTGATGTCATAGTGAGTTACACCTGTTTCAAACTGATGAAAAGGCATGATAGTCAAAATTACACCTGTTTCAAACTGATGAAAAGGCATGATAGTCAAAACATAGCTTTCCAAATATTGGCCTTTATACCGGGTGACATCCAAATCATTGTAAACGACTCAATTCATTTGTTTATGGGGTACGAAATTCGAATAAACAAACGAAGGTATAGTTGCTTCGAGCTGATATTTCTGATGAAAAAAACAATTGTAAACCTATTCCAGTTCAACCGGAAATAAACTCAATGCAAGAATTTTAAATAATTGAAAACCTACGAAAATATACTTTCACGAAGAACAAGACTGCATCGATTGTTGTTCCATTGTTATTCTGATTTATCTTGTAGAAAGTTTACCAAAAGTTGTCCATTTTCGGACGCGAAATCAACATTGAAATCTCCTGCTAAAATTAGTGACAATGTATGATAGTTTCCTTCTAATCATTCAGAGCCTACTCGACCGCATATATGTGCTTGCATCTTTAGGTTAGGTTAGATAGGTTAGGTTGGTTAGGTTAGGTAGGTTAGGTTAGGTTATGTAGGTTAGGTTAGATCAGGTGCGGAGCCTCTTTTCATGGAAATATAGTGTTTTTAAGCCATTTGGAACAACTTTGTCATTTGACCTCTGCGGATCCTGAAGGTCATGTCAATCGATTCAAATGTATTCGGTCGCCCTCTAGCGGCGATTCGTTAAGACGAATGTTTACCCCTTTTTGCCTATACTTCGGGCATCGGAATCGTCCAACACCCGGGCAACGCTGATATAGCGTTCTCCGACTTTTTTATTCGACCTTTCCGGACGCTAGGGGTCATGTCAATCGACTCAAAATCAAAAGTTATGTCGATTCATATACAAGGTAGCCCTCTAGCGGCGATCCGTTAAGATAAATTTTTACCCCTCTCTCTCTGAACCCTTCAGTAGTGAACGAAACGGAACTCTCTCTCTCCTTCTATCTTCACTAACTAACCTCCCTCTCAACTTCCGTCCACCTAGCCTTATTACACTTTTNTCTGAACCCTTCAGTAGTGAACGAAACGGAACTCTCTCTCTCCTTCTATCTTCACTAACTAACCTCCCTCTCAACTTCCGTCCACCTAGCCTTATTACACTTTTGGTACCGCTCTCGTCATGCATTTACAAGGAAAGTTCATAGATGACGTCACAGCGCCGCCGTATTGAATTTAGAGAAAATGGCTCCTACGTCCTTAGGCGCTATTTTGAAAGAAAATATTTCACTTGCGTGACTTATCAAAACGATCTTAAAATACAGGGCTCTATTCGAAGTTCTTGAGTATTCATTTCCTGTTAGACCCAAATAGGTTTCCAGTTGTTTTTTAATTAGAAACTGTACGTTCTTTCCGAATTTCAAATTTCATATTCTAGAAACAAGTGAATGGTGCTATGTACAATAACTTCGTTGCCACCCGGTATAACTATATTTGTATGATTATAAATAATTACCATTACCATCCAATATGCCCTAAGGAATATCCGAATTATTTATTTTGAAAAATTAGGGCGTAAACATTGGACTGGAATCGTTTATCCCGAATCTGAACCACTGTAAAGCCCCTAACCACACTTTCGTCAACCCATCGATCTATGAAATCAATTCGAATAACAAAATTCAAATGGCACAAGTGTTTTGACTATTCTTTAAGCTTCTTTTATTTTATATCACTTCGACTAATGTAATAACTAATCTCTACTATCACAAATAACAACAAACATCGATGCATATTAGAGTGCATTGAGTGAATGACAGTCCTCGCGACAATTGACAGCAACAACATTTTGGCACCGTTCCATTTTCCGAACCGTCTGTCAATTTCACCACGTTACTCTCTAAATACAGTACAGAATATACTAGTAACAAGTCCTAGGAAACTAATACCAAATGAATGGATCTTCAATTGATTGTCGATAACATCTCAAAGAGTATTTTTTGTTCGTCCCGTTCAAAATGAGTATTTTATCGTCGTCGGATCTCCTTCTTCAGAGGAGTCAATCTCTATTCGAGTACTCAATACTGAAATGAAGTTAGGTTAGGATCTACTCTTCCACCTACTGAACATCGCTGGACTCTCCCTCAACTCTAGCAAGACGTGTTTCGAATTCTTTGCAGAGCGCAGTCTTGGCCTAGAAATTTGAATGACCAATTCAAGGATTTCTCGTAGAAATAGGAGAAAGTTGAGGCATAAAAAGGAGGTTTGTATTATGAAACACAGTATTTTCCTTCATTTTCAGGATATTCAATAATTGAAATGTAATTTAATAAAACTCAATTTAAGGGAGGACGAATTTCAATCAAAGGGTATGACGTCACATGCTCACAAACGTCAGCACTATCAACATTTTTAAACGCTAAATCAACGGAAGGATCGAACTTTTCATCCCGCAATGAGAAAAAAACCGTATACGCACCATGTATTGAAAAAGTACCGCATTCTCACCCGCCCCGTAGGTGCGCGACATACTGTTCTTTCTTTCTAACCTCAAAATTTCAATTTTTATTATTAACAACTGGTAAACTAACTTCATAATGATATTTATATCAGATTGTGTAAGCTCTAGTGCTGAATCCATGTGGGCTACGGCACAATATTTGTAAAACTTCGAAATCGATTTTCATTCAATCAATCAAACATTTATTGAATCAGTTTTCCTTCTCAATCACATTAAACAAAAAATATCATCATAAAATACTGACTGATTTAACAGGTCAAACAAACATAAAAAGTCAATATGAAACATACATAAAAAAAGTTAATAAGTTACAATCAAACTAGGCATTGTTAATAAACTATAACGAATGAATAATGGCCTGCAGTGTTCAGTTGAAGATGCACCAGCCAGAATTTATGGGTTTTCATGATGTTTCATCTGGGCGCACAGCTGACGATTTGTTTAATTTTTTAATTCGTACGTGTGACACCTATAATTCAAGGCAAAAGTTAATTGCGCAAACCTATGATGGGGCTGCGCTCATGGCCGGCCATTTAATGGTTTACAAACTAAAATGAAGTCCATAGCTCCTCATGCACCTTTTACGCATTGTCATGCCCATGCCCTAACTTTACTATTAAGCAAAGCGTGCAACAACATGAAAATTTTCGCGCCTTCGGCGGGCTTTTCTGTGTGCACATAGTCTATATGACTTAAGCCTCCCCTGTTCTCCAATGCACGAGCCGTCACTGTTACTGAGCTTCAGTTTGACACTATCAACATGGAACTTCCGGGTAAGTTTATTATCAATATCAACACCTAGGAATTTAGTACAATTAACTTGATGTAAAGTTTCATTATTTAATCTAACCAAATAGCTTTTATCAATTGTTGTATTTTCAGTAACAAAGTTGAGCATTTGAGATTCAGCAGAATTTAGCGGCAGGCCATTTATAGAACACCACTCAGAAATTTGATCAGTTACTTCATTAGCTTTGACAATTACCTCTGACATAGTTCTCGCAGATACCAAGATGTTAGTATCGTCCGCAAAAATAACAGTAATGGAAGCTTTTGAACCAAATTTCGGATGATCATTTATAAAAACCAAAAATAGAAGGGGTCCCAGAACAGAGCCTTGAGGTACCCCTCTTGATATCCATTTTCTTTCAGAAATTATTCCATTCACACAGACCAGCTGACTACGACTGGTCAGTTAAGGTCCAACCCAATTCAATGCAGAGCAATGTATACCATGTATGTCATGGTCAACGAGGTCAAAGACTTTGCTCAAATCAAAAAATAATCCTAAAGTCTGCTGATTGTTTTCCAAGATTTCCAGCGCATGTTTAAAGAGTTGATCAATTGCACCAACTGTAGATTTATTTCTTCTATAAACATTCTGACTAGAAGAAAATAATCTGAATGATTCAAAGTAATCATATAATCTTTGATAGAAACAGTATTCAATAATCTTAGAAAACTGACTAAGTAGCGATATAGGCCTGTAAGATGCAGAGTCAGATCGAGAGCCCTTAATTTTGTATATTGGAAACCTCCTCTCAATGAAAGTGAAGTTAAGTGAAGAAATCACATTGGCAACCTTTTTAATAACACGACCAGGAATTTCATCAATACCGGATGATTTTTTCTTAGAAATTTTTTTGATAACTCGTTCAATTTATAATAATTAGGAGAAAAAATTATACTGTCGTTATCTGTCTATTAGTGTTTGGGAACATGTGACGTCACTGCTGTTACACGACCAATATAGGCTTTTGGCGGCGAAATTTGAAACGGAACTTGAAATACATGATTTTCATAGTATTTGTTGAATTGATTAAAACAATAAATACTTTGGGTTATATAGTAGGTGAGTATTTAAAAAAAATATCAACATCCTTATTGTTAGCGGAGTGAAAATTCCCCCAAATTCTTGACGAATTACATTTTTGTAAAACTAAATGTAATCGAAACGGTTTTATCAAACAAAACATTCCATGTATTGGATCCCTGACCAATGAACAATGAAACCAGCTTTATTTTTCACAAATATCTGTAATAACTTGAATTATCATAATCCTGAAAATCAAATTCCTTACCTTATCTCTTTGCTCCAGCAGAAGTTCCTTAATATGTTCGTGCTGCCTTAGCAATTCTTCTTTCCGGTTTTCGAACAGCTGTCCTAATTTTTCTCGTTCGGAGACTCCTCTGCCAACTACGGCAGTAACTGCTTCTCTTTTGACTCTAGTGAATTGTTCCCTATTTCGATGTTTCTTCGCTAAGGCTTTGACTTCCTCCCTATGATCGGCCTGCAGTTTTCTCATCAGCTCTGATGTTTCCTTTTCGAATTGTTCCTTGAATTGAAATTATTAAAAACGTCATGAAAATGTCATGGATTCGACACTATCTATCACCAATGAAATTGTTGGAAAAAATAATTCAAAATTGGATTCACTGATAAGTGAATTGATTTGTTTTTTAACAATAATTGTTTCGAAAAAAAAGTGGTCAACAGATTTTTACCCATACACCATCTAATTGTGCATCCTGTTTTAAATCTGTTTTGTTTTAAAATCTGTTTTTCCGTTAACCAGCTGTCGCACCCCTACGAACGACAACCCTCAGAAGTCGAAACTTGTGCGAGCTAAGGATTAACGAGGTCTNACGAACACCCACCCTCAGAAGTCGAAACTTGTGCGAGCTAAGGATTAACGAGGCCTTACCTTTCAACGTGTGATTCCTAACACCGGAGAGAATAATTAGGCAAAAGAAAACGACTTGGCTACTGCACGGCTCAAAATAATAATGACACATAATAATAATAATAGTTTGATGAACAATTACTTTTCCAAGTTGAGGTTAAAATTCATAATTACGATTTAATTTACTATAATTATGGAATGTCGTCCACAGTTTATTGTAAAAACAAATATTTGTACAGTGTAAAGTGGAAACTACACTACACTACATCTTCATTTAATTCGCGCACAAAATGAATTTTACACAGATGTAATAAAGCAACTTCAATGACTTCGTCTAAAACTATTTCTCATCATTAGGGGGGCTTCTCATTTTATTCCTTCTTCCTAAATTTTGTTATGAGCTCAGTAACGTATTTCTGATAACACGCTTATCCGGATAATAGTCAGTAAACAATGGTTCTGTAATATTAGAGCACATACCGTCAAAATTATGTGAGATACCAAAAATCAAGTACGCTCAATTCCAACTAAGTCAACATACATTTAGGATGTTAAAAATATCAACATTATAATCTGGATCGACTGAAAGTATCAGTACCTTCAATGTTTTAACCTGACTCGATTGAGACGTCTTCATGACCTTTTCCGCGGTATTGAAAATGACCTCGTGATATTTTTCCCTGAGTTCTTTTTCCTGAGTGACGAACTCCTTATTCATTGCCAGAAGTCGCTCTGAATGACTCCTAGGTAAGGTAGGTTTTTCTCCGTCACTTCCACTAATTTCTGGACCGTCCGCTACGTTGGTTAGTGGTTCGGCGCTGGGAGATTCAGTATAGAAAACAGAAGAAACGCTAGAAAAAAAATTGGGCGAATGAACATGAGAGTAAGTTGTTGTGAAGGACATTACTTTTTAAGATTGTTATCTTTCCCAAATTATTTGTGATATGTAACTGATGTACATATTAGATGTACCGGAAGAGATGAAATGAAAAAAAAAAAGAGAAGTTTTTCACTTGTAGAAATAAACAGATTAAAGTTGTTTGGTACTATGTCTTTCTTAGAATTTATTCAAGTATATTTTTTCCAAAAATGAAAAGATTGCATCATTATTGTTTTTACAGCTTTGGAAGCCAAATTGACATTCATTCAATATTTTTCCATTTGATAAAAATCTCAACAATCTTTTCTTCACTAGCTTTTCGATTAATTTCGAGATAGTTGATAATAACGAGATTGGTCTGAAGTTTGAGAATGAGGTCATCAACCATAAAACCATTCAATAATTTTCTTCTCACTAGTAAATACAACTTAATTCTACCTCTCAAATCATCTTCGAATAAAAATGAACATTCCAACTCCTGTCAATTCGAGTTGAGATAAAATTGAGAAATGGTTCTTAATATGTTGAAATATTTCATCAATCACATTGTTAACTACATTCAAACTTCAATTATTTTTGAACTATTAATCTATCATTTTGAGTTGTAAGTTAGGATGCCTTCACTCTGGTCTTGGAACTATTGTACATTGAATTAAGTATGGATACAAATTTGTTATGAATGTAATAGTGGTTTATCTTGATTTTTTTTTCAGAAATACCTTCAAAAACCCAGTTGACAACCGTTTCAAGAGTTATTCCTTATAGTATATACTACTCATAAAATAAATATGTAATTGAGCATGCAATGAAACCACAAAAGTGAACCCAAAAACGTGCAGAAGTTTAGAAAGACAAAGGAACTAGCAACACAAAATTTACATTGCTACAGTATGAATATTTATGAAGCCTTGTTTCATAACCTCGGAGAGCTGTAGGAAAAAAAATCATCAGCACATTTGAAACTGGTTCATATTGTGCGTGTCTTGTCAGTTTTTGTCATAAGATCTGAACATTTTGCAAGACATAATGGTTAAGGAATTAACCAATTGATTAGCAATAGAGTTAATATGCCGTTAAACATTGATCCGTGTATTATGTTGGAATATTGTCTGAAATCTGATTAGAGGTTGATAACTCTCAAATATATTTTATACCAAACAACTTTATTCCTGGTTCCAGATTTTTTTTGTGGCAACCAAGTAATGTATATGAGAGTAATTTCCGATGAATTCTTCACATCTCTGTCACAAAAATCAGATCCTGAAAAACTACCACAAACAAGTATTAAAATGAACATCAATTAGGAAGAAATATTGATAATCATGCTATGGAAATACCAGAACAGACAGACTAAAAATATACAGGTTCTTCAAATCATGTAGCATAAACAGAAATATTAATTTATATAAAAATAGGTAAGTTTAAAAAAATTGTGAAGTAATTATTGCATTGAATGTTGGAGGAGGAAAAGAAAGTAAGTTTGGCATTATTGGTATTTTGAAAGTTTAGGTCCTGCTTCTGGAACTGTAAATTCAGAACACAGTCATATGTCAAGGACTCAAAAAATAAAGGATCTATCTCTAGCGGCAGAGGGCATCTTGTGATTTTTTATGTATATGAAAGGGTATACGAACATATTTTTCATTCTTTTAAATGGTACAATCCTCAGAAATATCAAACGGGGGAAGAAATAATTACCATCGTTTTTCACTTTGGGTTCTATTTGACACTGAATTTGAATAATTTCCCCCAAAACAGTAACATCCAGCTAGTAACCAGGCTGTATGTCGACGGATTCGACGGGGTCGTCAGTTCGATAATAGATGTGTTAGTTTTATCTGAGAAGGAGGTGCCCAGGAAAAAAATGAAGTGTTTTTTTTTCTAAGAAAAAGTGAGGACACAAATGTTCACCCCAGTGTGGATGGGTTTGTCCTAGGATCATTAAAATTTGACTACACTTGGTTTTTATGACCAACTGGCCGGATAGCCTTAGTTGCTGAAGCCAATACATAAAATGAAGAGGAAGTAGAAAAACAAAGTAATCAACTCAGAAAAGAATCATGTGCTAAAAATGTTGATATAAATAACTTAATAAAAACGAAATGATTATAAACAATAATATAAAAAATTACCTTAATACTATTTCCTGGTCAAAACTTACGTTAAAAACAATATAGAGTTGCATTTCTCCTACTATTTACAATTAGGAAAGATAATAGTATCAACTTCTTTTGTTTTTCATTGTTGGTTTTGATATTGGGGCTGATGTTAGGTATATTCTTATATACCCTAGTTAGAAAATGATAAAGTCTTTTGTATTTTTCATATTCTGTGACTAAATTTATCGGTTAAACACATTGTAAATCTAACCTTAGCCCTCCAGATATACGTTCTTTGTAGTATCAAGGAATTGAAATTTTTCTTTACTTCAAACAATTTTCATAATTTTTTTGAAGATGATCTAGGTTGGAATGAAAAAATTTAAAATTGGAAGGTATGCATATTCCCTTAGACAAATGCACACTTTCTTCAGATTATAGGTTATATCACCAGAAAATATTCCTATAAATATGAGTTCCTTTACAAATAATACAGACTATATCAATTCAATACATCTAGTGAGTATTAGACATTGCAACATAAAAAACAATCAATTCATTTAGATATTTGGGGGATTTAATACTACCCATGTGAAAATTGTCAACTGTCATACTTTTTCGAGAATATCATCTCCGATTCGTGATAAATGATTTTCCGGACCTGTATATATAGATACCTAACTACCTCAGTAAAGTTGTAGGTGAAATGATTCAAACGTGCACACAAGTGGTGTGGTATTCGAGAACTCCACTGAAACTCACCATTTAGGGCATAGTCTCCAAACACCAGCAGGATGATCAGAAAAATCGATCTCGTTCTCCGTTCTTTAAAATGTTTTGAAGAGCAATGAGATTATTTTAGTAGTTCATTTCCGTTTCAGATAACCAAAAAATAGGTGTCTTTTAATGTTTGATGCTACACGAGAAGTTGTGTCCACACAATAGAACTATGAAAACAACATTCTTGATTCAACAACCAATTTGACATTAACAGAAAACATTTATAACTGTTGCGGTGGTGTTTTCATAGTGCTGCTGGGTGATATATGAGAAATTCATAGTCATTATATGACGGAGGTTCTAGTTTTATTTAGTAAAGACTTGTCTAGCTGATTTCAGATTTATTTCAATGAAGTCCTACGTAGTTAATTAGTCAGTGAAAATATTTAGACAGTAAGCCTTCAATTCACCTAACAACTTCAAAATACATTATTGAGCGAATATTTCTTTGTTTACATGATTATTACTTTCCGCTGTCCCTTTGATATCCGATCAATTACATATCTCATTTCTCATATTCAATAAATTCATTTGCCAATTCATCAGAGGAATCAGTAATTAGCATTCATTCGCTTCAACCACACAAATTGACCAGACATTTAATATTCTTGCCATATGAAAACGCAGAAAATGTCATAACAATTAAAAAGTGAACATTACTCACATGCTCTTGCTAGATAACCTCTTCACAAGCTTCATATTGACTAATTTCGACTTTTTTTCTGAGAAATCAGTTGATTTCTGCGAATTTAAAGACATTTTCTTTTTCTCGTGCTTCTTCCTCAAGTTCTCCAATTTCTTTTCCAATTCAAGTTTCTTCTCCCTCACAACTTTATTTTCCAAAATTTTCTCTAACGGTTCGGCTATCAAGTCCTCAATTTTTTCCTCTTTGATTTCAGGAACTTTGCAAAGTGTATTCGTTTCCACAGCTATAGTGGAAGATGACAGAGCAGGAAATGCAACAAGAACATCGTTATCGGTCGTGGATTCAACAGAAGTACTCCCACCTTTTGAAGAAAAAAATATATAGTAGTTTAAAATTCACTGAAAATCATTTCATTCATTCACATGAACCATTTGAAGTAATTTGAAATGATCTACGGAAGACCGATTGAAATGAAAATAAATTAGATGTTAAAATTATTCGAAATACTAAAAATGAAAATAATCGGACCAAAATAACATTTCACTCATTTTTATTTAATCGTTTTTTTTATAAATGTCTTACCTGTTATGGAAGGCCTCTGTGCTGGACTACCATTCGTTGTCACTTCCTTATTGCCTCTAGTCAAGGTGTTTCGCTTTTGTTCATCTCCCCCTTCCACAGGCTCCATATCATCCGTAAGCACCGCCAACTGCTGAGCTCGTTTTTCTAAATCGCTTTGGTATTTGATAGGGTTTGCCAGCGCTTCTGCAAAGTCCGACAATCCATCTGGAACGTAGTCTTTAACGACAACTTTCAAAAATAGTGTTGCTAAAGGGAGAGGTTGTCCGATTTCGGTTCGTAAGTTGACGTGTCGGTAGCCCGGGCACAAGCCAACAACTGGCAGAATTCGATGACCGATGAATCTTCCGGACTCTTCATATGCTACGATTCTAATCGAGGCTAAATCTGGTAGCACCACCTTTAAAAAGGGAATAACTGTTCAAAAGTGACATATTAACTTTCGAATATGTACTTCATGATGCACAAATATTAAGTGAGGTGTAAAAATTAGTTTTGACAAACAATGCTGTTTTTGGAAAAACCATCGAAAATAAAATCTGCAATGTTATCAGGCTTGTTACGTTCCTTTTAAATAAAAAAGTACGTTTTTAAGAAAAACATTATGAGGGGCGTAGCTGAAAGCATGCATTCTTCAACATGGCAAATAAATTAATCAAAAAGACGCTGGTTGAAAGTTCATTGTTGTTATATGTGTACCAAGATTCACCAAAGCATTTGATGGAATTTTTGAAGATCTGAATCTGAAATTATCTTTCGAAACTGATTGTTCACTGCAACAAGTGTTAGATAAGCCTTGAAACAAGATGGTGGAAAATGAAAATTCGAAGATATATGAAATGGCCCGTGAGAACTGTGACAAAAATGTATTGGTCAGAATAAACGAGCTATTGAAACTTGTTTTGAAAAACATGCTGCACATATTCGACTTCAGAGACTGGGAAAGTCCAGTTTCACTCAACATACGTTGGACAACGATCATTGAATAAATGAATAGTGTTCACTATTATTGAGACCGGTACATGACCTAAGACTTTTGGATGCTTTTTATGTCTGGAAATGTCTGTTCATTTTCATGTCAATTAGCGATGAAAAGCACGCCAAGAAGAGTGCTGAAATTATGTTGTGTGAGAGCAATACAGGCCATACAAGGTGTTTCATAAAGTAAAATTTAAATTTTTCATTTCCAGAAAGACAACTGAACCGTTTATAGCTATTTTGAGAAAGCTTTCTAATATCTTTAATGTTGAAAGTATTGCCTTTTATTATACTTGATAGTATTGTTTGGAAGTCAGAAAAAATATATTTTTGGAGCAAAGATTGTACATGAAATATCCGAAAGTAAATTTTACCTTTTTGAACACAAACGGTTCTTCATCATAAACTGGATTGATGCCATTATTCTGCACAACTTTCGTCTTGAATCTTTTCCTAACAGTATCCGCCGGTAACCCGTACATCTCCACCTCAACGTAAGTCCCTACTCTCTTATCAGTCAAGAATTGTCCAGATATCACAGTTATTTTAACGGTACCGGCAATTATACCGTCCACAGTTGACTCGGCGAAAGGGTAAAATCTCCTGTCAGTACGACGCATGAATTCCGGTTTAAGTAAGTAGCCGCTCCTGAAGTTATATTCGAAGATTCCTAAGTTCAACTGCATCGCCAAATCTAGCGTTTGGTAGTTCAGGGCGACTAGCTGGCAACCCGCGTTCCAGAACACCTGAGGCATGAAATTGGACGAGTCGAAACGGGTACCGGCGGGGTAGACCCTGCTCAACTGGTGCTTGTTGTAGTTGACGAACTGTATGGGGTACTCCTTGAGAAGTGACGTGGCTTGTCTTTCGTCGAACGAAGACATTTCGTAGCTGCGGTTTTTTTCTGAAAATGTTTTTTTCATTTCAACACAAAACATTTCAAACTATCTTAGAATAGATTTCTCAACTACTAACAGTTGCTGACAATAGACGATTCTTGGATCCACTGATCGTTCATAGATATCTAGATTCAAATATGTTTTTTCTATGAAAAATTGTTGAGGAATTGCAAGTCCCGAGAAAATAGAAGAGTGCAAAAAAGGAGGGGTTGAACTTAATTCACATTAAACCTTATGGTGAAAAACATGACTGAGAAGTTTATATACAAATACGGATATACAGCAATACTTCTGGTTCTGATCATTTTGAAAATAATAGATTCGATTATTTATAGTTATCTGCACTGTTTTGATAATTTGATTTTTTTTTAATATATCTTTGATTAATATTAGGTAAAGCATCAAAGTAAAAATTGAAATATTCAAAGTAATAGCCACTTCTTGAAAGCAGAATTATGATCTCAGAAATATTTATATATTATGCAAGATGTTCTTTTGTATGTGCAAATGAGTTGAAATTTTACTTTTTGGAAAATATAATCTTAAACGATACTTTAATATTGTTTTTTCGACGAATCTGTGAATTTATTTGTTTGGATTTTGTTTTCACTTTTTCTTTCCTTGTTAACAATGCAATATTTGGTAAAACCATCGAAATCACCTAACCATAAAAATAAACTTTATTAATGTAAAACAACAACAAAATTGTCAAAATTCTGGTAATCTATCTTTTGATTTGAATAATAAGCCTAACATTTTCAGACGAAGTACATTTTAAGGTGATTTCCTGGGTTATTTTTCAGTAAATTAGTACTATCAACTGTTCATTTCAAGAATAATAATGAAAAGCAGAGACATGGGGTAGTTTTGTTATTTTTATAAATCACTGAACTACCTGTAATAGGGAAAAGAAGTTTTAGCATTTTATTATTATAGAATTCGACATACAACAGAACAAATTGGTGAACCAATAAATTTATGATGCAGAATTAAAAAAGAAAAAAGAAACCGATTGAATGCGACCAAAATAGTAAGTACCACAAAATAATTGTTGGAAGTCATGAATGCAATACTTACTTTTGGCATTTTCGAAACTCGAAAAGTGAACAGGCTGTACATAGTTAACCAAAGCTGATATTTCAGCTCCAGCCTCGGTTTCCGTAGCGGGAACAGGTTTGTTATCACCACCTTCTTCAGTATTGTTTTCAGAGGAAACATCCGCCTCTAGGGTTTCTCCTTCTTCGACGTCACTCGAAGAATCGTCTTCTTCTGTTCCAGTCGATTCTTTAGATCCCTAAAAAAAGCCATCAAATGATGTACAGATTGGATATACAGAATGATGACCAATGAAAACTATCTGTACTGTACCTGTCTGGTTTGTAAAGGAGGAGCATGTCTAGGTGCTTCGCCATTTGTTGTATTCTCTACATTCTGAACTTCTGGCGATGGAGTAACGTTCCTTTTGTGATGGTGATGATGGTGATGTTTTTTCTTATTTTTTATTATTATTTTTCTTTTCAATAACGATGGTGGGGGAAGAGGATTTCCTATAAAGACGACCAATTCATGAATTAAAACCTCAATACATCCAATAGTTGCATTCTACGTTACCAGGTTCCAGCTTGTGAGATTCCAAGGGAGATTCTAGAAGCATATCACCAAATATCTCTCTACAATAGTTCGCAATCTTCGCCTGCTGACGTGGATTACAATGATTTTCGAAGGACAGGACTACTGGATAATCTGATGTTTTGAAAGCACTTTCAGCTATCGCTTCTAGCACCTCTTTTGCTGATATTTCAGGTACAAAAGTATATCCATGGACTATTATGGGCTCCTCGGTTCTGCCATTCCAAAAATCTAGTTCCACACATCTGAAAATAGAGACTAGAATGAAAAGCTGATTCATTATCTTTGGAGGGGGCCCTAACGGAACAACATTAAAAAAACGGTATCCTCACTGTAGCTATATTGAAGTAGTAGCAACTTTTGCGCTGCAAACTTATATTTCTGTAACTAGTAATGTCTGTTGCTTCTTTTTTTTTACCGATACAGATCTGAATATACTCCTTCAATGAAATATATGCTTATCATATCAGGTAAAGCATCACCTCATCAAGTGTATGGTATTATAAGTACGAAACTAAGATTTCTCATGAAGCTAGTTTCCAACATATCATTTTACAGTTCATGCAAAACGTAATCGATGAATAGAAAAGCATAGGAAACATACCTACATCCAGCTAACAGACACTGTCGATACATTTCGGTGCTGGACTTCCCTGTCAACTGATGGCCAGTCAAATAAGTATTGTGCGACGAGTTGATGAAATAATGTGCTAACGGTTGATCCATATCGTGGCTGAGATCAAATTTGGCAGGCGCCATGATGTTATTGTCTTCAGAGAGAAGATAACGCAGGAAGCCCTCAAAGGAGAGCTGGCCTTTCTGGGCGTTGTATTTGTTCGGTTCGTAGAGGGCTATCACATCTTTCGATCTGGTTGCGTCCGCGTAGGGATGAAGGATTTCGTTCAGTCGGGGGTCCCTTTGAGTTTTGTTCAAGAACTCCACGAACTGGTGGGAAGTCATTACCTTTTTTGCGCCAACTCTGAAAAAGTATAAGAAGGTTTTTGGTTTTTTCATACTAGCTTTACCTGCATCTGGTAGATTCTCACCACTTCGTTTTGAGAAATCAATGTCCATAGTGAAGCTGAAGACTAATAAATTACAACTACCTACTCCAAAATACAACTCCACATGAACATTCATGTAATTAAAGAACCAATTGATAACGTAGCAAAATACTTCCAAACTTTTATGCCTCTCATCAACAAACTAAACATGCTAAACGGCTGGAACTGTGAACATATATTCGAGGGAAGTGTACCAACATAAAAAAATCGTTAATCGGAAGTACATGGCCCGCGAAATTTCAACACGTGATTTCATGTGATTTTTCTTTTATTACTGAATAATCTAGGACCTAGGAGTTTCATAATTTTTCATCAAATAGACACAGCCCGATATAAGTTCTATAGACTATGTTCTGTGAAAAAAAGTACTCGCAAAAAATCTTAAAAGTGTATTTTCCTACCTGTCGCCATAAGAAGTAATCATGTGTCAATTTGTAGTTAGATTAATTAGTTGTCTTGTTGTTTTAGTCAAATTAAACATTTTTAATAACGCTTTAAGCATGGAGAACGGTATGTTTCTGCTCGTGTTTTGTGTCTTCTAACCGTTTTCTTTGTTTCTTTTTCAACGATTCTTAAATTCTGCGACAAGCATTTACATTCGCTTCACTTGTAAACAAGTTTTTTTGTTCGACGGATACATTGAAACTCATCAGACAGCACCGACTGCACAACAAACTGTTGCATTTCTCAACAAACAAGATGAGCCGGGGGAAAGCGAACTTTTCCGAGAACCTGCTGAATGGCTTTGTCAACACATTCATTTGGTTAGGATAAGATAAATACACACTGCTTTCGGGAAATTCATTCACCATTATATTATTTACATACTTTCCACAATCTATGTTTGTAGCCGGCCGATTTATAGTGAAAATGGTAATCAACTTTCATGTACAAAACAGAAGCATGTCTGCAGATAGGAGTAACTAGATATTTCATTTAATGGATCACCGCAGAAAATATATAACTGAATGAAAAATGTTTTTTACCTGAAACTCAGAAATTATTTCAAAAATAGTTGGAAAATGCAACTCTATTCTATTAACTTGCAGAATGTGTCAATGAACATAAAACAAAGCCGATTTTTGTACTTGTAATACAATAAGCGATTAATAAATTACATTCTACTTATCTGCATTAAGCATCTCATATTATTTCTACTGATTATTTCGTTTTTTTTGCCTACCGCTGAATGAGCTAAACTTTATTATTAAAAACGGTAGATGCAATAATATTACAACACAATTGTTCAATTTTAGAAATCGGAATAAGCAAGTTTACCCAGAAATACGTTACAAAACCCATAAACAAATTTAGCGGGACAAGATCGGCGCCAAATGAAGAAATAAACCTTTCGAAATCCTATGAATTCCACCTTTATAAAATGTATATTGTTGGAATGAAATGAAGATGAATTCAACAGACGTTAACAATTCAAAGATTCATTAAGTGAACAAATAACAAATAATCCAAATATCTGTTTTTCAGAAAAATATTGTCAGTGCCTGACGTGCCATAAATTTACAGTGCATTTTAAATGGTCTTTAAATTACTCTATTTGTCTCTATATGTCTGACGAGAACCTACATTCAGTCTCGGGAAGCTAAACGTGTGAACTTATGGCGACCAAGTTGTTGACTATCNTTATTATTTTAAATCTAAATCCTAGTTTCTTTAGCTAATTCTGAAGAGTTTTGTCACAGCAGCTCACATTATGGCCGGGAGTATTCAATTTCTTCCTGATAATTTCAGTAATAGGAATCTCATTGCTTTTGTAACAGTCGTATATTGTTTTTTTCAATTATTTTATTAGATGAACATCCAAAGGTTGTGGTAATCCCGTATTACATCGCGTCTTGCGTTCATAAGGTTTGTTTTTGACTATTTTACGTACAGTTGAGAAAGGAATTTCAGTCAAATCTGATGTTGCTTGTAATAGTTTGTTTCCCTCGAAACCAAACTTGAGAAATAGATTCTTATATACATTTAAACGTACTCTCTGTGTTCAAATATTCAAATGCATCGGAATCTTATTCACCATCGCTATTGGAATCACTACACTGAAAAAAGTCTGCGTTGTTATCACACTATTAGTACTTGTCCAAGGACGCCACATTTTAAACAGATAACAAAAATTTTAAGTAATTATAACTGCACCAATATCGAATTTCAAGATTCAGTTCCTGAACTGAACACGACGGTGATAACCTTCCCCGATTTCTATTCGTCACGATAACAATTTAATTTAATGACTCTTCAGCCAATCATAAAACTCGGTTAGTAAAAATTATTCAATATGAATCGCCAAGTCTACAGTCCACGTAGATTAGTTCGCTGCCGGTTCATTTCTATGTATTGGTTTTTTTGGCCCTTGAGAGTGCCGCCAACTTTAAGAGTGCGCAATATCGTTTACTTCGACTATACTCGATTTTGTCCATATCCATAAAAACAATCACACCAACTTACTGTTACATAGTTAACAACTGCTAGTCCAAAATGGCTGAAACTTTGTCGAGTAAGTGTCAACAGTTGAACAATGAAATTTACGAGTGCTGCCATCTTCATGATGAAGTCGGAAACTTCTGATATACTAGTAACTTTTACTAGTATATCAGTATACTAGTAAAATATACAGGATACAGGGTGATTCAAAAGTACTTTGACAAACTTCAGCAGGTGATTCCTCACAATTTTCTAATATGAATTGTCCAAATAAATAAATGTCCGGAAACGCTTCGTTTCGAAGATACAGGATGTTGAAGTTTTATTTTTATTTTCGTTTTTTTTCAAATAACTTTTGAAATATCTACTGAACTTAATTAAACGAAACTTGGTAATAGGAGGTTTTTGAGTTGTCGAATTCGAACCTGATGTTCTTATTGCTCTTACTCGTAGGGGGCGCCACCTACACGTCTTTTTCTTTTTTAAAGATTCATAACTTTTTTGGG